TACATTAACAAATGAAAAAGTTAATTATAAGAAATTATGACTCAAGTATCTGTCTACATCCCCATCACAAACTCTTAATGAAAAGCTGGGAGCTGAAGTCCTAACGTTCTCCTTTTGCCGTCTCTCATATGAGGAGTAAGGAAGAGTCTTCAAGTGTAAAAGCTGAGCTCTATCTACTCTAGGAGAAAAAAGAAAAAATCACCACTGTAAAGCTTTCAGTTGACGCATGAGGTAAGTAGTACTAGTCATGTTATTTGAGATCTTGTAGGCTATGGAGCACAATGCAGGGTTTCTCCACGTGGTGTCGTCATCTCCAGATGCTGGAAGCGACGGGAAGGAAGACACCCAGGCAGTGCCTGGACCAGGTCCTGCTGGCCCAGAGATAAGCCCTTGATAGGGGATTGATTCCTCTGCAGAAATCAAGTGCTACTTAAAATCAAATTTTGAAAAGTAAGAGAAAAAAGAAATTATTAAAGAGAAATGAAGAAATTATTAAAAGAGATATCATTAAAGAGTCAGAAGAGGAAAATAAGTAAGTGCATGAGTCAGGAAGGTATGAAAGCAAATGTTACCACAGCCCCCCAATACACATACACATACACACACACACACACACACACACACTCATTCTGTACACACAAAAATAAGCTTACATACGCCTGAATTCTCACTTTTCAAATTCTCAAAGTGATTTAACAGAGTTCAGTCTCTTTTATTCTTCACATTTTTAAGACTACCAAAATCACACCTGGCATGATAGGATCTGTAAATCACCTGTGTGAAGACGGCTGCATGCAAACTCCATACTGAACAGGACAGATTCTAAAACTACCCAGGTTGTTTTAAGGTTTAAAGGGAAAAAGTAGGTTACACTTTTACCCATAAAAGTCTGGATGACTCAGAGTTTAATAATAGGATACAGAAGCTTTCATCCCTAGGTCACTGATTCGAGGGTGACTATGGTAGACAGTCATTCCAGGACATTACCATCTAGCAGCTGTTTTGTTCACAAACTGCAGAAGAAATGTGTTGCTTGTCTCTATTAATACTCATTTGACAGGTGTATACATTCCAAGTCACGCATCTGCCAATCGCGAGCACTTTGAAGCAGAGTGATGAAAGCTGCAACAGCTCTTACCTTTAGAAAGCCCTTAGGATGCCCAATTCTCTTCTTTCTTTACGTAAAGTACTAAATATTAATATTTCACATCATAACAGATTTTACTGTCTCAAAGCAAAATCATAAAAGATACCTGTGGAGGATTTTTTGAAATGAGCGCAATATCATTCTATGAAACAAGGAAAGCAACAATCTTTCCTCCTAGAAAACGTGGTAAAGGCCAAACCAGCTGAGGTCAGTACTCAGAATGGCCCTGCGACCTGCAGGAGACTGCAGACATCCCTGGGACTGTGCGCTCTAAGCCATGATCATACGTGCACACACAGCTTACTAGGAAACGTACTTCTAAAATTTAGGTACCAAATATTTATGTCCCCAGGCAACACAAACCAGTTAAACTCCCACTATCTCCGTCATGGTACTCTACAGCCTTTAAGTAACTCCCCTATGTAAGTGCCAAAGATTATAATGTATCAGTTCAGTCCTTCACCATGGCAACTGGAAACTGGATGGTACCTATCGGCCAGTAAAGTTATTCCACTAAGAAGGATTCTCCAACAGGCCCAGTCACAGCGATAACTGAAGAAGAATTATGTTTTGAAAAACTAAAACTATTATTTTTAGAACACAGTATGGAGGTATTTAAGTCACCACCCTGCTATGTCTGCACTGAAATAATGAAGACACCTATCTATCAGCCTTTGCCACATATTCAGTCCACGGCACTAATGGAAATAAGATTTATGATCTAAAAACCTGCATTCCTGTCTTCCAACTTTGTACCTTCTTTGAAAGAACTCAGCATCTCCTTTTAGAATATTAATTTAACCAGGCAATATTCCAACTCACATTTAGTATGCATTTTTAATGTTTGCATAAAATGCTTAACAGGGACTCTGCTTTGTTTTCTTAAGTGATGTTAAATAATACACTATTTGGCACAGATCCAAAAGATGATGAAAAAAGTCACTAATAACTTTTTATTTCAAATATATCATTTTACTTTAAAAGGTCTTAAAAGAGTCTTGCACGTTCAAGCTTGACAGATTTACTTCTGTCAAAACCAAAATGCCTCATAAAATGAGAAAGAGGGCATTCTCCATGCCCTTTGACCTGGTTCAGTAATGCAACAAAACAACTCTGCAGTTTGATTTTGTTTTGCTTTAGAATTGGTGTGTCATTACAGATCATGGTCTGCAATCCCATTTCATTGATGAGGAAATTAAGACACAGAGAGGTTAAGTGATGTGGAAACACAGACTCTAAGTAGAAGGGACCTAATCATTAACACAGATCAGAATTATAACCACAGGCCTAGTTTTATCCAAGTGAAAGAAATGCCATTTTTGTATAAGCTGAAAGTTTGTTTAAAAACTCTTTAATTCTAAGTTTAATAACAAACTTAGCAAACCTATTATTTTTGTCTACTTTAAGTCTTTGTCTTTTGTCTTAAACATCGAGAATCTCAGAGTAGAATTCAGTGCTCAAGCAGATCACCTCCTTCTAGCCGTGGTTTCTGGGGGCAGTTTCATCCTCTCTTTGTCGCTCAGCTCTTCATAAACTCAATAACTAATTAGTTGAGCATCTGTTATGTGTCAGACAACATTCTAGGTGCTAAAGCCACAGTAGGGAACAAATCACGTGAAAACTCCTGTCTTCATGGAAATCAACGGCATAAGTACAAGGCAGAGTATTTTTATCACTATGGAGAAAATAAATAGCTGGAAAGGAGATCTAGAGTGGGGGGTGAGGCTCAACTTTGGGTAACCACCAAACAGGTGGTCAGTGAAGGTCACACAGGTGACATCTGCATACAGACCTGAGAGGGAGAAGGGGAAGGAGTAAGCAAGGGAATGGGGGGTGGGGGGGGACTCCAGGGGGATAGTCCAGGCTCAAGGAACAACACACACAAAGCCCTGAAGTGGAAGCATGCCTGGCCTGCATGATTCATCTTTTTGTTGTTGTTCATTATTTCAAATAAAGTGTATTTTTTCTTTATTGAAAGTTCTGCCAAATACTTCAGAAGAAGGTCAGGAACATACATACAATCCTAAATACTGCCGACAACCTTCAGATACTACGTTACTTCAGAGGAGCTTTTCCCAGTTGTGCATGGCAATGATTCTTCACTCACCTTGCCACCCTCCACTCCCCACCCCCATTCCTTCTCTTTCTCCACTGGAGATCAAAACACTGACTTCCTAAAACTAACTTGTGGTGGCAAAAAAAATTTTGCTTTGGGGAAAGGGCCCACCTTAAAGGAATCAAACTGCAGAGTACCCCAACCTATAATGACCACCTCCCTTGAACTTCTAAACCCACTGCATCTGTATCCAGCCCTTAAGAGTAAGTGCTACATGATATTGTTACTCCGCTTACATCTTATTATATGCTACCTTGTATTTGTGTACACATCTTGTATACACACAAGGGGACTTCCTTGGAGCAGGGCCCATACCTTGGGAATGTCTGAATCCCACCACAGGGCTTTGCACATGGATGGCACCGATATCTGATGGGCTGTTTGACAGTGATGTCATAGAAACTGACACGATGGGCAGCAGGCTTTCCTCCTTTTTCAAGCATCTGTCTGCCGATAACGCATGAAAGAGACATCATAGTCTCTCACAGGCGTTTGGATAATCTCAGCCATCTTGGCCAAGTCACTGTTTGTGTAACATTCCATTCTGTCTAAATTCCCCTTTGCGTTTGCCGTTGGGCACGTTACACACTTTCAGTCTAGACACAAGCATGGATTAGCCACAACACACAGAGCAACTGCACCGTGTGAAATCCTCTTCAGTTCGCTTCAGCCAATGTTATTCAACACTATTATGGGAAAGGATACCAACACGAAACTACCAGACACAGGGGCTATAAAACCCTGTCCATACAGTCTAGCCGGACAAACAGACACATATGGAACAACCTCAGTGCATGCAAGACATGCAGAAGTATTTTGAAATACTTGGCCTGGAGGGTGAGGTAAGGCTTCACGGAAAAGTTGGCACCTGAACAGCCAGAGTTTTGAAAGATGAATAGGCGTCGGACAATCAGACATGGGATCAAAGGGCATTCCGGATTGTGCAAAACACTGGCAGAAACATAACAGACTGAAAACTGCAGGAAGGACGCATTCACCACCAGGGAAGGAAAGCCGGTCTACTGCACTCTTAAACTTTCCAAGAAAAAAAACAAGTTTTCAAATAAGGAGCTGAGGAGGAAAGTTTCACCAGCACTTGTTTTGTTAAGCCTCTTAGCCTTGCTTTGCTTTGTTTCGCTCTTTCTGTTTTGTTCCCGCTCAGAGAAATAAAGCACTCTGCTGGCATAAAACTTCAGTGAGAAAAAGTACTTCAACTTAACTGAGAAAAAGGAAACTGAAAAGCGGACCAGGGCCAAGGAATAAATAAATTAGTAACACTTTTTCTGGATTATCTAAATGGAGCAAAATTTCAAATTCGGTATCATTCATTGCAACTCCTCTCTCCACCAACTCAATACATATCTATTGTATGCCCACTATTTGTTAGTTTCTGGGATACCAGGCCTCTGAGGCACTCTCATTGCCCTCCTCTTTGAGCAAGCTCCTTGCCTGCAATCTAATAAAAGAAATAGCAGAAGGCAATTCACTTGTACCCTGTTCCTTCTATGGTTGCCAATCAAAGCTCGAAGCTCAAGCAGAGTTAAATTCCAGTCAAGTTAACCAGCGAAGACAAACACACTTAAACCAACAACCGAGATGTAAGAAACTGACAGAGGTCCTCCATAAGGGTGTTCATCACCTCTTCCTGTGAGCAGGGAGCTGGCGAGCTGGATTTCCTGGCCAGTGATTTGGAATGCTGAATGGGGGACAGGGGAGGGACAGAGGGGCTGAGGTTACCTGGGAGCTCAGGTAGACTTTGAGGCACTCCTCGCACACGGCCTTCTTGCAGCAGGGCAAGGGCTTGATGGGCTTGTCTTCCAGGCACACCCGGCACATCAGCACCATGAGGGGCGCATAGGGATCCCCGACCCCACCCAGGCCAGAGTAGGGTGGAGCTCCCAGCAGGCTGGGCACGGAGAACGGCTCGGGCGCCAGGTAGAACTCCAGCTCGATGCTGCCGCCGTCGGGGGACAGGGTGTCCGCTGGGAGCGACAGCCGGGGGCTGGGGAAGGAGGAGGGGGTGCTGGGAGGGTTGGTCACCGGCGGAGCCCGGGGTGGCGACGCGGGCAGCGAGAGCCGCTCCGCCGAGGGGACCTCGGGCAGGTCGTTCTCCACGCAGAACACGGAGCAGAAGACTTGTCTCTTGGCGGGGGGCGGGCGCCGCTGGCCCAGCACGTCCAGGACCAGTCCGTCTGGGGCCCCGACGCGGGTCCGGGGCTCCGGCTGCTCGCCGGGGGGCGCCTCCTGCTGTTCATCCCCTCTCTCGCTTCGGTCCCTCGCTTCCTCCTCCTCCTTTGCCAGCTGCTGTTGCAAAGCCTGGGGGTTGAGGGGCCCGGTGTAGGCCAGTCCTGCGGGCTGCGCCGGTGCCTGGTTCTTCTTCCAGCTCGGGGCCCCCCGGCTTCTCGCGGGCTCCGGGACGCTCGTGTCCGCGCAGCCCGAGTCGCTTCCGCAGCTGTCGCCTCTCGGCTCGGCGGAGGAGGCGCGCGGCCCGGGCGCCCCGGTGCTGTCCCCCGGCGGCCTCGGGGGCTCGGGGTGGCCCGTGGCGCCGCCAGGGGGGGTCCGCGCCTCCAGGGGCCCGCCGCTGCCGCTCACCGTGCTCTGCTCCTCGCCCATAGCCGCCCGCGGCCGAAGCCGCCGCCGCCCATCCAGCCGCCGGGACCCCCACCCGGCGCCGGCGGGCAGCGGGGGCAGCGGCTCGGCTCGACTCGCGGCTCCGCTTCTGCTTCCGGGTCCCTCCTCCGGGGCTGGGACGCCCCGAGCTCCCTCAGGGGAGCCCGTGCTCCCGGGCGGCGGCGCGCGGGGAGCCCGGCCCGGCCCGCTGTTCCTCCTCCTCCTCCTCGTCCTCCTGGTTCTCCTGCGCGGCCGGGCACCGCCTCGGGGGCGCCGAGGGCCGCTCGCTCTGGCCGCCGGCGCGCCCGCCCCACATGCAGGTCGGGGCGGCGCCGCGGCCCCCGGGAGCCCCTGGAGGGACAGAAGGGTCCGGAGGGAGGAGGCCGTCAGTCCCGCGCCATCGCCGGTCCCCGCTGGGGGCCGGGCGGCCGGAGGGCGGTGGTCAAAGGGTCGAGGGGCCTGTGGCGCCGCCGCGGCGCGCACCAGGAGGGGCAGCCGGCGCGCGAGCCAGCCGCCGCGGCCCCTGGGGGAGAGGCCGGAGCGCGCGACCTCCCGCTCCCGCTCCTCGCGCTTCACCTAGCGCCCTCCTCACCGCCCCTCACCCCACCCCTTTGGCACACACCTCCCCACACGTACACACGCGCGCGGGCACCGCGCACTCACTCACGCACACCCCGAGTGGGTGTGATCTCAGACCAGGATGCGCTCTCGCCCCCAGGGTTCACGCTCGGCCTCCACTAAACCCTCCAGAGCCGGCAGGCTGCCCTTCGGGCTACGCTTTGAGCAGAACTTCCTACAAAACTCTTTACTGAAAGCTAGAACTAGAAAACCCTGGCTAGTTAGGATTTTGGTTTCGCTTGTTTCTCTTGCGTTCGTCCAATTTTAAATCCTCCGAAGAGGGAGTTCAGAGAATTAACGCTAGGAATTATTAGTTCAAAATGTTGTGTATACAACTCTCTGCTCTCTGCTTAATGAGGTAGGAAGGATGTTTGAAACCCACAAAAGTGCCAAAAGCACGTTTAACCTACTACTCCTTTAACTAGAATCCTTATGAGAGCTGGTAAATAACGAATTTAAGATTTATCCCCCTTTCCTCCTTTTCGATGTCCTCTTAGGAACTTTTTTTTTGTTTAACCCTTTGAATATTCCAAAATGGGTAGCATTAAGGTAGTAAGATGGTCTGGCCTAATTAATAAACCGGATCGTTGGAAATCATGAAAAGTTTCATTAGTACAACCATATTTATCCCCAAAACCGTTTCCAAGACAACAATTATAGTTGAGCCAGAACTTAATTATGTGTTGATCTATCTTTATTTTCCAGGAAGTATTAGTCACCCAGACTGGTGCATGTTAGTTCCCTAAAGCCAATGAAAACATTTTTGGGAAGCCAACCTTTGTTTTTTTCATCGAGAGGGAATTCAATTTACACATTCATGTAATAGGAAGGAGCTGTGAAGTGTGTAGAAATTTTTATCTTGAAGTTGATATTGGGTTGTTCTAAAATATTTTCCAAATCAGATAACAAATGCTAGAAAGATGACTAGCTATGCAGTATGAAGAAAGGAGGGTAACACCAAAGAACATGTCCATCATGTATGTCTGATGTTCAGCGGCACCACAAATGGATGAATCTAATCAATCAGTCTAAATGCCCACCTCATTGATCAGTCTGACCCAAGAATGAAGAATTCTTACTTGGAAGATTAAACGCTATTTAGGGATTTTTTTTTTTCACCTTGGCTAATTGATTTCCTAGTAACTGTTATTTTTTTTCCAAATGATCCTAGTGTTTATTGTTTTAAAGGCAGGGACAAGAAGCCTACATGTTTGTGTCTTTTTTTTTTTTTTTGCTGTACGCGGGCCTCTCACCGTTGTGGCCTCTCCCGTTGCGGAGCACAGGCTCTGGACACACAGGCTCAGCGGCCATGGCTCACGGGCCCAGCCGCTCCACGGCACGTGGGATCTTCCCAGACCGGGGCACGAACCCGTGTCCCCTGCATCGGCAGGCGGACTCTCAACCACTGAGCCACCAGGGAAGCCCTGTGTCTTTTTTTGTATGCCATCTGTTAACTACTTTTCTATTCTTTCTAAAGGGATATAAAAGTAATCTGTGTTTTCTGGGTGACAACAGTGAGAGTAAGACCAGAGTAACCATGATGGATACAAAAAAATATATCTCCACGGTGTCTCTAGGAATCAAACCCCTCAAGGTCTTCCCATAGTTTGGGGACTCACTCCTCCACACATATTTGCCGTAGGTGTTCCAAGAACTTGTTCTTGCAGTGCCCACCATTTTGTTCCTTATCCCTCAGATTTGGCTTTCCTCGACACTGAATCAAGTCACTGGTGGGATTTTTGAAGGCTGCCCTATAGCTCTGCAGCCCTTCTCCTTACCATAACTTCCTCCCCATGGGATTCATCTGGTGTTTGTGAAAATAGAACCATGACATGCCATATCTCCAGCCTCCAGACAGACTCAGACTTGCCTCAATCCTGGGCCCAGCGCCCCTGGTGTTCAATCTGGGACCCATGGGACACCAGTAACATGGAATTGAAATGCAAAGTTAATATGGTGATCCTACTATCAATTTCCCCTAAAATGAAACACATGAAGCACCTATGATAGTTGTACTGATAGGATTCATTAAAAAAAATTGGTTGAAAATATAGTTACTGTAGCAAAATTTTCACTTATCTGACACAAGCTTAATATTCTCGAAACTCAGACCATCTGCTCCATGTCAGGCTGCATACAGTTGTTAGTACGGTATAAACGCTATCACCAATACTCTGTCACTACCAGTTTCAACCTTCAGTGTTTTGTAATTTGCAATGGGCTGTGCACATTCCCTAAAACCAAGACTTGAATACTGAAGACAATGTCAAGTTTGAGAATTGACATAGTCAATTACTTTTGGTCATTACTGAACGTTATTTTTTCTATTACCAACTTTCCTATCCTGGCGTTTAAGCATGACTTGTTTTTGCTTCCCCGGAAAATTTTTATTCAGACTTTAATTCGATAATTAAAGGGCCTAGATTTATTAATTTATTTAAAAGTGTTATGAAAACTCAGAAAAGCTGTGAATAATTTTAATTTTACATACTAAAGGTAAAGCGGATTTCTTCGTAACTGTCGTGGAGAAAAAATACATAATGTTTAAATACCATGAAATAATTATACAGCAAATACCTGACTTGTTTTCCTATCAGTCCTTCAACTATCAAATATATATGTGTGTATGTATATATATATATATTTTTTTTTTTAATTCATTTCCTGAAGAGGAATGAAAACAGTGGAATGAATTTCTAGGTCTGCTTCTGAAAGACAGAGTGAAATGTTGGTCCTCACTCTCCTATTTTCTCTCCTCTTCACCCACGGAGGGAGAGAACCTGGAATCATTAAGGAAAAGGGGCATTAGTACAACACAATTGTTTCGCTTATTTTTCCACCCAAATTTCCTAAGGAAAATCCAAATGAGATAAGGTTAAAAATAAAATGAAACAGTATATTCCTTCCAATTATAAAATTAAAGCCCAAATGCTTTGAAAACAGAGGAAACCAAGAATAAAAAGGAAGATGAGGAAGGAAAATGAAGACAAATGGGAGGGAGGAAGGGGAAAAAAAAAAAGGAAGGAGAGAAGGAGAGAGGGAAGGAGGGAAGGAAGAAAGGAAGGGAAGAACTTTATTATCCACTACCCAAAATAACCACTTAAACTACTTTAACATATTGATAAACTTCATTCTACTGTTTACATCTGTGTGTATAAAAAAAATCAAATGATATATGCTCCTTTTCCTACATTTTTAAAATTAGTAATATATCCTGACCATTTTTCACACTATTAAGATATCTGTATATCATCATGATTTGTGACAATATAGAACTTTACTATATAGATGCATCACAATTTATTTAACTAATTCCATTTTATTTTTAAAAAGTAGATTATTTATGATTTTAAGAAAACATACATTTAACATATATGAATATGTATTATAACCTTTGTGTACATTCCTAATATACCATAGCATAAAGTCCTAAAAATTAAATAGCTGCTCAAAAGAGTAGATGTAACTTTGAGGTTTTGGCACACATATCAGAGAAACTTAGCACCAGTTTATAGCCCCATTAACAGTGAGGGTATGAGAGAGTCTACATCCCTAATCCTTCTAAGGACATTTTTAAAACTTAAAAATGCTGTAAATAACATGTTACTTTTAAATTAATGAGCACATTCTTTTAGATAAAAAGGGAAAAATCAAATATTAACTGTCAATTCCCTTTGGATATATATAATTTAGCATCACATATTATGGGTCTCTATTCCTGAGGTTATGGTTCTAACAGCTTTCCTTCCTCATCTTTTTAAAAAATTTCCTCATTACCTCTTCTAGTGACAGTAATGCTCTAAAAATACTCGAAGGTAACCTCAGTCATAGGTAATACTTCTAAGTCTATGATACCAATTCCTCATTTCCTAAATACAGGTGCACCTAAATACAGGTGCACTTATTTGAGTGCCCCAGACTCATTCCCAAATGAATACGGTGCCAAGGAAACCCCATCTTTCAGCCCTCACTGTGGAAGCTCTTTGAATTAAGACAAGAAGAGATCCACTAATAGTGCAAGATCGACTCTTCTTGACCTGAGAAAAGCCCGTTCCCTCCTCACAGAAAAAGTCACCTTGGAGTTTAAAGGCAACTTAGAGTTTCTACTATGGTGGCTTTGGTTTACCAGAAAGATGTCAACCCTGGCTCTGCATCTAGAAATCCCTGGTCTCCTCTTCCCAAGGTACAGAGTGACACAAAGAGAGAGAGATGCATTCTGTTCTCTCTGTTTCCCCGCTTCCCTTTCTGAAAGGGGTGTCAAGTCACAGCCTCCTCCTGACAGGCTTTGTTTATAGCAGGAGTCAGAAAAATTTACAGCCTGGCTCCTCCCTGGCCCTGAGACTGGAATGCCTCGTTGGTTCGGTAAGCAAGAGCAAGATAAATCTCTTCTTATACAACTCTCAGTACCCAGTGCCTCCTTGCTGAGTAATTCACAGTAAAGGAAATCATTTTGTCCAAACTAAAGGGTAATCAAACATCAATGTAACAGAACTGAAGATGCACTTTTACAAAATGACACTTTAATTCTGAAAAGAGTAGAGATTTTCTTAGCAAAAGGAAAAGCAAATCTCTTCCAAATTAGGGAAGAAGTAAGAGGTAATTTAGAGAAAATTTATTTAGAACAATGGCAAAGTGCTTACAAAACTATGTTAAATGAAAAAAGACAAGAAAAATCTAATATATATGATTACAGCTGTGTTGGGATGTATATGATAAAATAAGGACAAAAGTAATAGGAGTTATTGTATAAGGGTGATGTGGTTATGAATTTTTTTTCATTTCCCAAAATTTCTAAAATATTATGTTGCTTTTATAATGGACAAAAGAGAAAAACAAGATTTTTTTTTTTAAAGAGTGAAACAGTTTCATCCTAATGAACAGGGAAATAGATTTGGTGTTAATAGATGTTATTTGCATGTACACTCGTGATAGTTAAGGTAAGCAATTCCTCCCATTTGTGTTACAATTCAGTCCAACAACCATTTCCTGAAAGTCTATTAGATCCTGTGTCAAACTTTGGAAAATTCAATTTACTAATTTGTTCCCCAAATTTTCCTTCATTTTTAACTTCATAACATCTATGAAACACTTTAAGCTGTCCAGAGCCAGAGCATATCTTAGCTATATGTGGA